CAGCAGGGTGATCACACCTTTGCATGGCTTCAGGCAGTCCCTATCTCTGGATTGGGTCAGACGATGAACGCTAAGACATATCGATGTGTGTTGTGTTATCGGATGGGTGTTCCATTGTTCTCTGTCTCGACACTGTGCTTTGCTTGCTCTTGGGTTTTTACTGGGGATGTATTCGGCGACCATGCGGTGTCGTGTGCTGGCATTTTAGGTATTAAACATCATGTTGTTCGGGATAGATTTGTTGATATTTGTTACAGATCTGGGATTTCAGCAAGAAAGAAGGTTGACATAGGATTATCTGGAGGGAATGACAGGGCCCTCAGACCTGCCGATGTGTTACTTTATTCATGGGATCGTGATGTATGTGTCGACTTCCCAAGGTCTTCTCCTTTGACACAGACAAGGCTATCTGACTTTGTTTCGGGACGGGTTGTGGCTGATGCGGCTCATCAGAAGCGGGTTAAGTATGAAGCTCATTGTCTGGCGATGGGATATGGTTTCATTCCCTTCTCCTTTTCTACGCTTGGGGATTTAGAAAAGGAGGTTGTTGCGTTGTTGAAGCGGATTCAAAGGTTCTCGACGGCGCAAGACATTGGGGCTCGTGCTGCAGCTCATATATTCACTAGGGTAGGCTTTCCTATAGCCAGAGGAGTAGGGGCCCAGATTGTATCTCGGCTTCCCACTAATTTATTGCAGGTTGTATGACTTTTGTTTTTGAGATATAGGAGAATCTATATAGTCTACTGTAACAAGTTTTATATGGAGTAGTATATACTTCTTTTGTTTTTTTTAGTTGACAAATTTCTATTATTACGCTTGTCAACGCATGTTTTAAACGATTAATATCTTTGATTATCAACATTGTAAAATTATAAAAAGTGTATATTAAAAAAAATATGTATTGAAACATTTCAAACAAAATCTCACATTAATATGTCTTATCGTATCTAAAAACCACAAATACGAGTCAAATTGTATTGTGTGAATAGTGTAAAAGCCAAACGAATTCAACTAAAAAACAAGTAAAGTATATATTGACAATATAAGGCTATATGAAGCATATAGTACTCCGTACATGTTAGTCATATGCTAATCTTCCCCTCATTTTCATAAATAATGGATAGCTTATTCAACTCAACTCACATGTGTATTTATATTTTCTTGTAACAATAATTCTTTCTACAGCATTATTTTAATTTTTCCCAAATCATAATAAAGCTTTTTATATAATTCCATTATTTGGTTGAGAGTTTAAATTCAATTAATTGAAAAGTCATGCTATATTGCTATGCATATTTATTACATAATCATTCCTTCACAAGTTCTCTTATCCCTACCATGATCTCTACCAACTAAAACGGGTTTATCATTAATCAATATTAATAAGTTTCCATTTCTTTTTTTTAAAAAAAAAAGAAAAAATACAAATTTATCTTCATGATAAAAAAAAAAAAAAAAAAATATCTAGTTGCATTTTTTGTAAATAAATCAAAAACTTTTGTCAAATGTGAACCCCATTAATGTTGATGTATTTACAAAAATGTCAAACTAACTAAGATTTTAAATTGATTTATTTACGAAATTACTACTAGTAAAATATTTTTTTTTGTTTATCATGAAGATGAAATGGGACTCCTCAAATTATATAAATAAAATGGAAAATTTGCAAATTGTAGCCATTTAAAGTTTGTATTTTGTAAATTGCAGCCATTAAATTTTTTTTTTGCAAATTGCAGCCCAAAAATTCGTATAAATTGTAAATTGCAGCCCGATTTAATTTTTTCATCAGTTTATATGTTGAAAAATTTTCGGTTAAGGTTTTAGGGGTCATTTTACCCCTTAAGAACCCGAATTGAGCTCGGAATTAGCAAAAAAAAACTATTATAAGTATCTCATATTTACAGTTTCCCACAAATCGATACATTTTTGTTATGCAAAACGAGATACTTGCGTTATTTTTTTGCTAATTTCGAGCTCAATTCGGACCCCTAAGAGCTTAAATGGCCCCTAAAACCTTAATCGAATATTTTTAAACTTTTAAACTTATGAAAAAGTTGAATCGTGCTGCAGTTTACTATTTATATGAGCTTTTGGGCTGCAATTTGCATTTTTTTTAATGACTGCAATTTGCAAAATATAAACTTTAAATGGCTGTAATTTGCAAATTAATTACTACTACAAAACATTAATTTGTTGTTGAATAAAAATATGGATGAGAAATTGAAGATGATCTTTAAGACATGTCAATCAAGATAGAACTAGTTAGCAGGCGCGGTCAGAAATAGCTAGGTGATTAATACGAATATTGTAATAGGGACAGTAGTAGTATGATAATATGTAAAGTAAGACTAGAGTTACCGCAAGTACTAGCAGTCATAATTGCGTTTTTAGGTTGTTGCAAGTAAAATTCCATACATAAATGAAGTAAAGCCGTTGCTAATGTCCCATCATCACGTTTTGGAAATAGATTCACTGCTGAATTACGTCTATCCTGACTTAGGTGCACGTTCCTAGACACGAAGAAAATATGCACCAGTGAAATACGGTTACTCTCTCCGACATACGGAGTTATAAATACAGAGTACATAAAAGTCTAATTGAAAAATGAACTCATTGAGATTGTTGAAAATTACTTCCTGCATTCTAACCAGTTATAACTAGGGACTTGTTTATAATTTTTTTTAATGTTTTTAAATACTAGCTCGATCATTAGATCTAAAATATGAAGATAGCTTGACTAGGGGTACTTATGAATTTATGATGCAAGTCGAGTTTAATTTGAGTTTGGGGTAGCTGGACTAGACTCATTAATCATATCGAGTCAAACTTAATCGAGTCGAGTTTTGACCGAGTTGAGCTTTGACCAAATTTGACCGAGTCGAGCTTTGACCGAATCGATCTCAAGTGGCTTGTAATTTGATCCGTTTTAGTAAAACTCTCTATTTAGTGTAACATCTCTTCTTTCTTTTTAATTTTGTAATTTGAGAAATATACTTGTGATGGTACGAGTGTATAAATAATGTTTACTCTGTATTTATTAATTATCAATGAAAAAAAATATATTAAAATATTTTAATTTTTAGTAAATATATTATTATATAAGGGAATTCGAGCTTCTTAATTACGAGTTTTAGAGTCGAGTACTAAGCTACTCAACTCGACTAATTAACAGCTCGAGTCGAATTTTGACCGAGTCAAACTCGAGTAGCTTACGGGTTATTTCGTCTCATAAGCACCCCTGAGCTTGACCAAGAAAATGAGCTTGGGAAAACGAATTGGCCTGAGAAAAAATTGCCAAAAGAAGGGGAATGTTATATTAAATAAAAAAATCTTCCAACTAGTTTATTGAAATAGCTAGCTAATAACTAATTATTGGAGCACAATGTCACACAATTTTTACAATGTCTCAGCACAACAAGTCCTATAAGAGCAACATCTCTATGTCAATGTGTCTTTTCTGATGTATGTGTTTCTGGTGTAAGTTAATGTAATTACGTGTTGTTTCCTCTATTTATAAGCTAGTTATGCACATAAGGAAGGCTGACGTGGATCGAGTCTTAGATATTCAGGCACTGCGCTGTAGGAGATTGTTGCTCATCTTGTGATATGTACTATCAGAGTCATCTCAACATCGCTCATGGGGAGGTTCCATTCACCATCAATAAGGTCCACCATTTCAATTGTTGCGTAAGGGAGTCGTCACAGCTAGGTTTGACACGGGTATAAAGGGTTGGTGGGGCACTCAGAGTGCGGTGTGGATGGTGTGTCAACTATAGGAGTAGACGAGCGAGATCAGTGCGGGAACGCCTTTAGACAGGACTGAAGGGTATGTTCGTGGCTACTACTCGATCCAGTTGAGCAATCAGAGAAGGGACAATGGCCAGGAACACGAAAAGGCGGCAACAAGTAGGGTTTCAAAGAGGAGTTGCAATGTGGTGCTAAGGAGGGGGACCCATTATGCTAGCATCTAGCTTCATAGTTGGGCAAGCGTGTACAAATCACCTTAAAACTAGTTACATCGCAGATTCGATCAAATGATCGCCTTAATATATATAAATAACAATGCAAGAAATCTAAAATATCAACACAAGTGCAAATCACCTTAGAACTAGTTACATTGCAGATTCGATCAACGATCGCATTAATATAAATATTTATCCGAAGCAATAGAATATATGAGTTAGCACTAGTTCGGCTTGTGATCCACTGATGAATATTTATTTTAGCAAAAATACTCATATGGTCTTCTAGATACTTCCGTAGATCAATTTATTGAAAGCAATTAAGAAGTTTTTGGGGTTTAGCTTAATAGAATAACCACCATCTTAAGAAATCAACTTAATAGAATAACCACCATCTTAAAGGTGAGATTAATTTATTAAAAGCAATTAAAATTTTTTTGGGGTTTACCACTGGTAAAACACCGGTGGAAACCCCTACAAAGATTCATAATTGCGACTAGAAGAAAAGAGATGAAAAAGTAAAATTGAAAGGAGAAGGATGAAGGAAAACCTTCAAATAAATAGAAAATATCTAGCAATGGAGGCTAGAAAACCCTTCAAAGGAAAAAACTATAGAGAGAACCAGGAAAACTCTAGAGGGAGCCTAGCTCAAATCGATTATAGCTGTGCTAAAAATTGAATACTTATGACTTATGAAAATAAATAGGATATATTTCATTTTTCTAAAAATTATGAGTTCCAAGTTCCTACTAGATACCAACATGCCACATTGGCCAAAGATCCATGTCCTTTTTTCCCTCTTTTTTGACTTAAATATGTCTAGTTTTCATATCAAATGGATGAACTCATGAACCCCAAAAAAAGTTATCCTTGAACAAAGTATAATTGTGAAAAATAATCCTTAAAAGGAGAAAAAATTAGCATTATTTTATACATTTCAATATTTCATAATGAGAGAATATAAACATAATATGTACAATATCTTGTAATTTACTCCATAGTTTATTTGTAGAGACAGGTTTTGGTTGTGAGTTCAGAGTGTGTATTAATCTTTGCTCTTGGAATCAGTGTTGAATAGGAATCTTAGCATTTTCTTATTTGTTAAGTGGATCCATCATAACTCTCATTACCATGAATTAGGGAAAAGCATTTTCATCTTAACAATATATTATTCTTAATTATTTGTCTTTTTCTTTTTAATTATTATTTCTGATAACAATTAATATAACTAACCCTGCAACTCTACAGAAATCTGCATGGCAAAAGTGTACTGTCACAGAGATTGTTAAAGAGGTGAAAATTTTTTATATCAAAAAAATCAATCATAAAGATATAAAAAAAATGGTAAAAATAAATAAAAATAAGCAGAGCATCACTTGTCTTTTAGCTCCCAAGTGTGTCCATGTGCAGTTCTGTTCCCGTATAGTTAAACACAATCGTAGCTAATCTGTTTCGGCCTTACTAGACCAGTAAGTTTTTTTTTTTATTGGAACATAACGAATGTATTGTATACAACGTTTTTAATCACCATAATACAAAGAGACTTTTAAGTGATATAAAGAGACTAAAACGTGTTATGAGTACGTACAATACGTCCGTTGCATACACAAGAGTCAATACCTTAAAAAAAAAAAAAAAGTTAATACTCAAAGCATGATTTAAAACAGAGCTAAACCAAAAAACACCCAAAAAAACCATTTACTTTCAGTCTCTTCTTTATAAACTTGGAAAAACTACATTCACCCACCAGTAATCAACCCTTTTCTCCCCCCTCTCTTTCTCTCTCCTCATTTCTTACTCTCTCTTCCTAAAAAACAAGATCCTTTCATTATCTCATTATAGCACAAAAATCCCAAAAAATAAAGAAAAAAAAATGGTGTCACCTGAAAGAAGTAGATCAATGGGAGAAACAACAACAACGACGACGACGACGATGACGAGTCCGAGGATCTCATTTTCAGCAGAGTTTATGGATGATGACAGCTTCATCTCCATAAGCCCAGGCTCGTCATTAGATAAAGATGACCAAATAGAAATCGAAAGGGAAATAGTTAAGAATGCAGCAGCAGAGTTTGAGTTTTTATCAGGTAAAAATAGTTTAGATGCAGGTCATTCAACAATGTTGACAGCAGATGAACTTTTCTTTGAAGGGAAACTCCTGCCTTACTGGCAAATCAACCATGCAGCTGAGAAGCTCACTAGAATCAACCTCAAATCGTCCTCGCCCGACGAGGACGATAACCCAACCAACACTACCACCAGAGAGTCCTCCGGGAAAATGAAGCTAAAAAACAATAACATTACTACAACTTCCAGGGATCAACAGGCGAATTCGAGTGCTATAATGCTGGGGAGAGACCAGCAGGAGCCGAGGATATGGTTTGTAGACGATGACCCATCACCAAGGCCGCCAAAATGTACTGTATTGTGGAAAGAGTTGCTTAGGTTGAAGAAAACAAGGTCCTCTACTTTGTCCCCTTCGTCGTCTTCCTCTTCGTCGTCGTCGTCTTCGAGTTCATTAGGAGATGCTGCTGCAATGGAGGAGAAAGAGAAGGAAAAGGAAAGTGGGTTAAGTACTAGAGAGAAGCATATTAAGAGGATTAAAAAGGGATTAGAAAGAACTAGATCAGCAAGTATGAGGATTAGGCCAATGGTTAATGTACCTATTTGCACTCAGAGTGGTAAGAGCAGCTCATTGCCTCCTTTGTTTCCTCTCAAGAAAAACAAGATTGATAGGTAAAAATTGGAAATTTTTTTTAATTTTTTTTTTAATTTTTTATTTTTGATTTTTATTTTTAATTATTTTTTTTAATTTTTTGGGTTTTTGGGGTTTAGTTCTCAATCAGCTTGTGAATCTGTAGGATTCTTGATTGATTATGTTCATGAACTTGTCTTATTACTTTTTTTTTTTCATTTTTTCCTGACCCCCCTTTATCTCTATTTCCACCCCCTTTTTCTCCCTTTTTTGGAGGTATATTATTTTTTTTTCCACTTTTTTATTGATGTTATTCAGAAAATTTGGTTTTAGTGGATCTGATATCAGAAGTGAGTGAATCACTACCATGTACATGCCTGACATTGTCTATGTGTTGGATGCTATTCACAATTAATGTGTATTAATTACTAATGTCATTCATTTACTGCAACTGCATTTGATGAGCTTGACCAGAAGTCTAGGGTCTAAAAGAATATTGGAAATCTCAGAATTTTTTTGAATTTCTGTTCAGTCTCCTCACAATATTTGGAGGGGAAGTCAAAAGGTTACAGGAGACTGAATCTTAATCTTTGTTATTCGCTTTAGAAATGTTTAGTTGACCCTGAGAGTTACCGATCTTGGTAGAAAGGTGTAATAGAGAATGCAGGTCGAAAAACTCAGTTATCCGGATTTTGATAAATCCTAGTTAGAAACAGAACAAGAGTATATGGTAGAAGATTAGTCACTGCAGAAGTTCATATACACTTTTCTTTCTGAGAGCAGTCACTCTTTCAGAAAAGTTCACAGCCTATATAATGAATGTAAATTTGGCCAAAATCTCAGTTCTCAGATTTTTCCTGTGTTACAAAATAAAATAGATAGAACTATACTGAGAATGTCAATGACTGGCCTTGGAATAAATGGAGCATAAGATAGAAACATTGTTGATTGCAAGGTCTTTAGTGAATTGTCCTTAAATAAGCAAATATAGATGTTTGATTTATGGGAAAGGTGTTGTGTGAACTGTAAAGTGTAGTTTTCCTTATGCAGACAAGGCACAAGTAGATTGTACCAAAAGTAACTGAGTACATACCCTTGTTTTATCTACTCCCATAATCCAATAATCTCCTAAATGCTTTTGTCGATCCATCTAGGGCAAACAAATAATGTACTTTAGCTTTTAAATAGCTGTTTGGCCGGACACGAAAATGGTCCCGATGTGTTTAATTTTCAAAGAGTGCCCAACATTATTTGGTTGAACGTAGGAAGTAGATCACATATAGAGGAACTAGGTAATCGACTTACTCCGCTGAAAGAGTCAAACTTCCAAGGAAGTTGTATGTTTTCTGTGAACTAAACATTAGAATTGTCCACCTCTTAAGAACTTCAACTTCTTATGTAAATCTATGTCTACTAAACGACCTCTAAGGAACTAAGTCTAGCAATCCATTGACACAAGTAACAACAGTTTTGTATGTCATGCTTCTCAGGAAGAAGCTTTTGACAAGGGACTGGCTACGATAGCTTCATTTCTTCTGAATCTGACAACACAAAGCAACATTGATAGTACAGTACTACATCAATTAGGAATGAGTTAGTAATCTTGGCAGTTCAAACCAAAGCAACTAGGTAGTTAAACAGAAATGATCTAATTTGTTCAATTGTATTCCATGTAACAAACAGAAGAAAATATGAATACTTACAGAGTTAGAAGTACACAAACGGGTATTAACATTTACAGTAATTACTCTTCAGCCGAAAATAGCGAAATTGAAAAAAAAAAAATACTAGTATACGAACAATATCAAGTATTTCCTTCCTCCCTATGAGGGGCAGGGGACCATATACAGCTAAACAAAGTCAGAAGCACCTCTCAGAAAATTTTTTGTACAACAAAATGACAGCCTGACTTTCAGGCAGCATAGAGGAGCTTGTTTAATTATACCAAGTACTTCAAACACAGAAGCTTTTACTCATATTCAGACAACTAGTTCTGAGACGAAGAGCAGAAAATACCAAGAAGTTTCCAGCTGTATTTAAGTTGCCAAAAAATGAATCAAATACCGTTTTCACATCGTAGGGACAGCCAAGTAACATTCACTCATTGAGGACTAGGAAGGATCATGTATTCGGTCCGGCCGACTGTGAGAAACTGTTACCGGGAGTGAACCTGAAAAGCGGATCATATAAGATTGTTAGATTGAAAGATGAATGCACCTCAAGTGATTCAGATACGAAGATTTCACACTTACGAAAACTGCAGCCCGGGTTTTTGAAGAAGGCTTTTCGGAACAGTCCCATTTAGATTATTGTTCTCTACATGGCTGCAAATTAGAAGCATTATGTCATAATCACAAGGAAGGGAAAATTATTGAAAGAACCTCAAGAAATTAATAAATAATCACAACTAATACAAGTGCCATAATACTTTAATAAAATTTGAGCTTCTCTTATTAGATCATTATGTCCTTGGTGAAATACCAAACTAGCAACACCTAAATTTTTCTGTTGACCCTAACTAGTACCAACTCAGACCTTTGACCAATCTAAATCTCCCATGTGGAAATATTATTGGGACAAGATTGATTAAGAGGAGCGTCTAATACAGCACAAATTAGTAAAAAATGATAAAAGTGAGAGTAACGATCACCATTACAAGAGCACATCGACATATTTGCCACAGACTTGGTCAACTATTAAACAGAAAGTAAAGGAGAAGAAGTTAAAGCATTTTTATCAACACCATGCTCAATTAGCAAATTATACATCTAAGCAAATAGCAAGATCTTACTCTAATCTAGCAACAGTTCTCTGCACTTGGTCATAGGTCTCGTAGCAAGTAACTATATCAGTTTTGGCCACCTAAACCCATTAAGTGGGCAAAATTTCGAATATCAGTACAATGTTCTGATTCAAAAGTATTGCCAATCCACAATATATGTGCACGTTTAATCAGGTGTAGAGTTATAATTGCGGTTTTGGGGTTAGAAATTGTATATTTGAATTAGACCTAGATGTAACTATGAGTAGGTCCTCTTGGAGCAGTGGATTGATGATTTGGTCTAATATAGAGCATACCTGCATTTTGCTTCCTTATACCTAACCAAAGTAGGACTAATTGGTAGGCAATGAGGTTTATAGAAATCATTTATGCAAGCATCAACTAGCACTGTTATACAACAGAGGTCAGCTACTATCAGCAGTATTGAAAGAGTGGAACTAGATATCAGAGTGGAACTAGACTCCGGCCTTCAATCAGCCAGTCAGACTCAATCCAACCACTGATGAGAAAGGAATGCAGTCAGAAACCTCAAATAATGGTTGAGGCATACTGGATCTAAGCATCTGTCAGACCAGTAGTTTCTCATGCAGAACAAATTCCATGTGGCAAAAGTCGAAGGGAATACTAAGACAAGAAGAGAAATCATAATAGAGATGCCAAAATATTATTCGAGTCACAAATATCTGAAAACAAGTGGGTTTTAGGTCCAAAGATATACTGAAATAGGCTGGGATATACTACTGAAAAACAGGTATGTTTAAGCAGTTAGTAATGGCCCAACCTGGAGAATCAATTGTAAAGGCATCCTGAATAATCAACCAACATTATGTTAAGAAAAATGACCAAGATGCCATTTGCACAAATCAAATTTAGTAAATGCCTTATCATAATTGTCACCCAGAAGTAACTTGAAGATTTGATGAATCAACATATAGAGAAGCTTGGTTCAGTATATACTGATGTACTAGGTAAGCCACGTGGTACCCACTCCACAATAGCAAAGGAGGCCTTCATCCGAGTTTTTTTTTTTTACTGAATATATTGGTCTCGGATATAAGGAAACCAGTTATTAGTTGTAAGTGGAACTTGACAATCCATATCTAAAGTCAGAACTTATATACCTATGCAAAACTTAAATACCATGAACCATGTTTTTTCAAGGTGAATAACATAACACCTAGCTATATTGTACTATGTTAATTTATGGTTGAGTGGAATTGATGAGAGAAAATTGGTGGGACCTAAAGTTTGTGAGAGTAAGGTTGTAGTCCCTAATGGACATTTATAGGGTCAGTCTATAAGGGATGACCTAAAAAGGCAAATGGGCCAAACTTAAAGGAACGGAAGGAAAAGGCATGATGAGGAATTCCGGATTCCCGGAACAAAGTCTATACAATATAACACTGTGCCCACCTGGACATCTTGTGAATAAAAAGAAACTAAATTCACACATTTTGGTTGAGCAAAAAGTTAGAGAAAGGAAACAATTCAATTGGCTTTTGGTTGAGCATTCCTCTTAATCTATGTCATTAATACTACGCACTCTTTTCCACATAATATGTAGATGTTCTCATGGACGAGCATCTATGTCACCGCGTATTTCTCTTTCTCACAAGTAACTAACTACGAAGTACTTCAAAAATAAAGTATGCAACTCTATAAGATTAGTTAGTCTTCAGGGATTAAAGCTATAGATGATATAAAAACTTACAGTTCGCGCAAACTTCTTATTCTTGCAAGTGATGAAGGAATTGTTCCACTGAAGCGATTATTTTCCAAGCTCCTGAAAAAATGATAACATCATATAAGAGATATAAAAACACCAACTCATAGCATACAGACACAAGTGAAATCCCAGTAATTAGTATTGAAAGTATGTTAAGTTGTACTAACATTCTATCGATGGAGCAAGCTGTCACAATCACCAAAAATTTAACACATCTTTTATCATAATTCTATAAATCCATAATCATCATCAGGAATACCAGATTTTGAGACAGATTTGAAACATCCAGCACTTGAAGAAACAAACTCATAGATAAATAATGATTCCATGTTAAACGTGCGCGCACACACATGCAAACAAGAATAAAGGCTTACAATATTTTTAGATGATTCAATGTACCGAGCCTGGAAGGTATAGGTCCAGACAAGCTATTATTTCCAAGCATTCTGTTAACAGAATAAAACACTAGGATTAGTACCAACCTAAAAATGACTAGCAAAGTATCTTTAAGATCAGGCACCTACAATGTGTTTAATGCAGTCAAATTTCCAACTTCAGGTGCCAAGGATCCTTGAAGGCCCATATGCATCAGATTTCTGGTCACATAAGAAAAGAGTAAGTGCCAATGAGAATAAGAGATCACTTAAGAAAAGTATGTTGAACTTGAACAAGAACTCACATAGATATTATGCGAATCCTTGTACCATTAGAGCACGTGATCCCAGTCCAGGAGTACCCAATTGGGAAACAAGGGTCACCACTCCAATCTTCAGGAGGGTTCAGGAAACTGCGTTTAATTGTTTCCAACATAATCACTGAGGCAAGAAACAAAAGTCAATAAGTAAGTCTGAAAATAACAAGCCTCAAGCAATTTTCTATACTTTTAATCAATCTAAAAGAAAGAAAATTTCCAACCAGGTCACAACATACTCAGCTTTAAATGCATACAACAACACATTTTCTAAACCAAGTCGTCCGAACTAATATTATCTAGGACACAAAATAATATATATTTATCTGACATAGCTAATCAATCATTATCCTTTGTCTATTTCTTTTTCAAATGTTGCTGTAAAATAAGCTCCTCCTTACTAAAACATAAGGTTGACATGTTTTAATT